GCGCATGTCAGGGGGCCCACGACACAGATAGGGGCGGGGCTCACGTGGCTCTTCCGGCGCAGGGCGCAGGGCTTACAGTCCGGCCTGTGGGCACGGGGTTGGCTTAATGTCTGGGGTTTGACTCGTTGCTGAGCGTTTCCGCGTACATCGCCCAGAACCTCAGATCGTGGGGCCAAATTTTATAAGAGTGTCAACAAATGGCAGCATTTTCCCGGAATTTGTGACTTCATTTCAGGTTCTGTTACAGATTGTGGCCACGTGGCATAGTTTTCCGGGATTTGTTTTTTGGTAGATTAATTTGCCCAGATTTGATACCAGTACAATATTGAGGCCGTCTGGTAATGTGGTTATTGCTCCATGAATTGGTGTCTCCCCTTGTTTATTCATGTGAAGTCTTCCAGTTTTCTTGCTGTTCTGCACATTTTCCTTTAGGTTTTTACCTACCAGCTTTTGTTGCTGTTTTAGTTTACTCTTCGTAATGGACCCTAGGATAATTTGTGTTTTGGTATGTTGATCTGTCTGGTCATTCAGCTGAACCAATTCTTTTGGATTTTATAGGTAAGAATTCATCTATCTGTAAATACCAATTTTGGCTTTCCCCCTAAATTCAGTGCCACTGTATAGTGGCCTCAGGTAGTTTTTTCCAGAAGTTATTTGGATTGCATATTACATGTTCATGTTTTTTGAAGGTTTCTGGTAGATAACCTTTTTTAAAAAGTAGGCAGTAGGGGTAAGTAGTTAGGAATAATTTTTAAAAGTTATCTGGGGGTCATATTGGCAGAACTGGGTGGGTGATTGGATGGAGACAGTGAGGGAGGAATCTAGAACAGTGTCCAAACTTCTCATTTGGATGGTGATGTCATTATCTGGGGTAGAATACACAGAGGATTCAGGTTGGCGGTGGTGGAGAGTGGGAAAATTTCCAGTTTAGTTTTAGTAAAGCTGACTTTAAAGTCCCTGTAGGACTTCTAAGTTTAGATCAGGGGTCCTCAAACTTTTTAAACAGGGGGCCAGTTCACTGTCCCTCAGACTGTTGGAGGGCCGGACTATAGTTTAAAAAAAAACTATGAACAAATTCCTATGCACACTGCACATATCTTATTTTGAAGTAAAAAA